CGCTTTTACAATGTAGATTGTGTCAAATCAGCTTCACATAAAATATCATAGTAAATTGAAAGTGTAGTTCATTTTTCAAAGTTTAAGTTCAGTTCAGTTTAGCTCAGTTCAGTGTGGTTTAATAATCACTACTGAGAGTCCAAACTCCGTCGATGCGCAGCTCCACAGATCCCAAACCATGCGGCGAGGAAAAAAACTTCACCAATTGGTGAAAGTGAAGAAACAAAAACCTCAAGAAAACCAGACTCAGATAGGCACAAACATTTCTCCAATGGCTAAAGGTCTTGTGCAGAGCTGCGGTCCAAGTGCCGGAGGCTGGAAGCTGGACCTCAGCGAAGACTCATCAGACTCTGGAGCGTCACAGATTTAAAAATGCTAAATTAATTAATAATAAATACTAGTGTCTATAAACTATACTGTTTTACTGTATTTACTGAATGTGTTCTTATTGAATGCTACAGCATACTTTTGTATTAACTATAATGAACTTATTAACTGTAGGATTCTTTGGTTGTGTAGTACAATATACCATATAGTAGTATTGGGTCAATTTACCAGTGCCACAATAGATTAATTAAAGTACTTTACTATAGCATGGCTCAAAAATACTATAGTATTTACTATCTCTTTTTTTCTTCATTAGGGAGCATCATTTTTCAGACTGTCAATGATCTCAACATGCCTTTCACCATGTTTTGCAGACTAACTTGACCTTTACCAGAAGTTAGCACACCCAAGTTGGCACCTCAGCCTCCTGGCGTGCCGTCTCTCAGCTTCTGTCTCCTCCTTTGTGCTCCAGCAGACTGTCTCTGGTGCCAAATCTTCAATCATTATCCCCCCCGATTGGCCAGAAAGAGCATGTGTATGCTAATTAGCCAAGAGGACTTTTATATGTTAACAAATTGCTGAAAGTCAACTCCCTGGAAGCGATTTACATGTTTATTTAGACTTGCTCCACTTCTTAGCGCCACACAATGACTTATTTTATTGTCATTTTGCTAATGTTTTAGAGTGTCTCCCTCGGTCAGTGTTCTTGCTGCAAGTTCTAGATTGAAACAAAACATCATGCAAAGTGTTTGACAATTAACCTCTAACATCTTCCTTGTCATGAATTGATACTTAAATGTAAAAAGGCAGATGTTTAGGCTCATCACACATGCTAACATGCTAACGCGAATGAGTTTCACAGCATATCTTTGAGTTAAGCTGTGTATGAAAGAAGGCTTTTGACTGGAGGATGAATCTTGGCTTTCTTGTGGTTGTGCTGATGCCAGGCGTCCCCCAGTGCGTTAAGGGGGAAGCCCTTACTCTTGCTAACAGCCTCTGAGAACAGTGAATGCGTGAATGGCTTTTTCAGGCACACCTCGCCGAGGTTGTAAGGAATGCACAGGACTCACACCCTAAAATGGCCGAAACTGCGCCATTTTGTATTTGTGGAATAGCAGAATCAGCTTTGTTGAAGCTACTGGAGACAGCTGGGGAAGCCATGTTTTACATCGTTTGTTTACTTCAAAAGCGTGGCTTACGCAATGTTGTCTTGTTGGAATGAGCTCAGTTTTTTGGCAAAACGGGCGCGAATTTCTGGCGAAGGATCAAGACTTTTTTTCTTCGTGATCCAATGCCAGCCTCGCTAGAATGAGTGAGTAATTTCTTTGGCTTTCAAAATTAGCGCTTCCCTTTTAGCCTGCATCCTGGTTCGATCCCTTACAGCTTTTCCCTGGTCTTTTTCATGTTTGATGGTTTTTACGACTCAAATGAGCACCGCTGGCTCAAGTCTGGAGGACACACATGTCGAGCTTTCAGCTACTGTTGTTTTTTCTGCAAGCACAGAGAAATCAGCTGAGAGATCTGTGACAGAAACCTTCTGATGGCTGACCGTTGATGTCTTAATGCCAAATTGGCTCTTTTAACCACCATGTATTGGAAAATAATATTACACCAAGTGGCAACTGCACACAGATGTCTTCTCACAACCAACTTTTCTGACCAATTTGTGTGGCTTGTTTGTACAGGATGTTTGTTTAGTGGATTAATTATGTCAATTCTCAAATTCAAACATGGTGTCCAAAAAGAGGAATCACAGCTGTCATTCTACTATTAATGTTTGGAAAAGGTAATATTTAATATATTAAATATATAGTTTAGATTAGATTCAACTAATCTAATCTAAACTATATATTTAATTATTATTATTATTATTATTTAATTAATTATTATTATTACCCCACCTGTGAAATTTGTATTTATATTAAAATATTTTCCCAGTGATATTTAAACGCACCAAGTGTATTTTTTTACAGTATTTCCAGTAATATATTTTTCTTCTGAACCCATTCTTATTTCTTTTAGTTGTAGCTCAATATTATTGATTCGCTTAATATTAATATTATTATTTTTTTATCAAAACAAACTACTTTAATTAAAGCTAATTAACTAGTTAGCCCAATTAACATATTAAGCCTTTAAATTGCCCTTAAGCTAAATACTAGTATTGTGCAACATGACTTATGTTTAAAAATGTGTTGAGGGCGAAGCAGTGGTGCAGTAGTGCTGTCGCCTCACAGCAAGAAGGTCGCTGGGTCGCTGGTTCGAGCTTCGGCTCTGATGGCGTTTCTGTGTGGAGTTCACTTGGGTTTCCTCCGGGTGCTTCGGTTTCCCCCACAGTCCAAAAACATGTGGTACAGGTGAATTGGAGAGGCTAAATTGTCCGTAGTGTGTTTGTGAATGTGTGTGTGGATGTTTCCAAGAGTTGGGTTGCGGCTGGAAGGGCATCAGCTGCGTAAAAACTTGCTGGATAAGTTGGTGCTTCATTCCGCTGTGGCGACCCCGGATTAATAAAAGGGACTAAGCCGACAAAAAAAAAAAAGGAATGAATGTATGAAAATGTGTTGAAATAGGCGATATGGTGGCGCAGTAGGTAGTGCTTTCACCTCACGGCAAGAAGATCGCTGGTTCGAGCTCTTCTGGGTCAGTTGGCATTTCTGTGTGGAGTTTGCAGGTTCTCCCCATGTTCACGTGGATTTCTTCCCGGTGCTCCGATTCCCAGAGATGGGTTGCAGCTGGAAGGGCATCTGCTGCGTAAAACATATGTCCACATTATTGATACATTACACTGTGGGGAACCCAGAAAATGAATGAATGAATGTCTTGGAATACTTTATTTGAACTGTATAATATAATATAATATAATATAATATAATATAATATAATATAATATAATATAATATAATATAATATAATATATTCACATATCACTCATACACTTCAATTCGCACACATACGCACGGACACTATGGACAATTTAGTTTGTCCAGCAACCAGCAACCTTCTTGCTGTGAGGCGACAGCACTACCTACTGCACCACTGCGTCACCCTCACATATATCTTTACAAATAAAAAAGAATTATAGAAATAATATATTACAAAAATTATTATTTTCTACGTAAATATAAAAACCACTATTTTTTTGCCTTCTTTATCTTGGGGGGCTTTTTTCAGTTTATTCACGACAACTAACTTTTGTATAATGCTATTATCACTAGCAGTATTATTTATTATATGCATATTTATGTTTGTTTTATTAAAAAAAACAAGCTAAGATTTGTCCACCTGTCGGTTTTGGACCATATGGGGCACAGCATGTGTGTTTGGATATAACTAGGGACAGACGGAATCTGCGGATATTTTTTGCTATTTCTGCGCAGAATTTTGTTAAATATCTCCGGATTTATGTGGAATGATTTTGGGAGTATCATAACTAATACCTTAATATATGAACTAAAAAGTAATACCTTTTAAACTTGTATTTAATGTTTACTATTAGATCCACTTTATTTGGTAAACAAATCAAGTCTTCTATATAATACATCTACTAAAATACAGAAAATATTACTTTACAAGCTGTATTTGTAAATGTATTTAATAACTGAATAAACATAAATGTACACACATTTACATAAGTAAATAAACAGAATCAATGATGGGCTAAAAATCTGAAGAAATCTGCGGAAATCTGTGATTCCATGTGGGCCTAGATATAACTCCTTCATTATTATTGTTCATTTATTTGTTTGCTGGACATTAGAACTGAATTTAGAAATATTTTTGAAACAAACCTTTGCGCTTAACAAACATAATTAATTATGTAGGCTAATGGATGTCTTCAACACCGTTTCCTTATCCCCGAAAGAGAGAAAGAGAAAGAAAAAGTAAAAGCAGATTAAAGGAGGCTCGTTCTTCATCCTCACACTGCAGATGCTCTTTTTAACTGTTTTCTCGTTAGTGAAACATTCACTTTTTCCACTTACAAAGTCTGCCATGTAAATAGCAAATGCGCCATGGCGTGACACAACTGACTTTTAAAGGAAATAGGAGATGAGACTCTGTTTATTCTCAAAACACACCCATAACTCATTAAGAGTTTAAGCACAACCCTGTTAGACGATGCGCCAGGGCTTTAGACCTGCCAATGCTTTTGCTCTATGCGCTTTAGACTTTGCACCTAGATCAGTAAAATAGAGCCCATAAAGTTAAACTTAACTAAAAATATATAATACTTATTAAGTTAAGGTAACATAAAGAAAGTCATCATGTCTGTTATATCAGTTTCACTAATATCTTTCATGTATTAACATCCTCTGTACACATAAAAAATGCTGATTTGAAAAAAATTACAACCAGTTGTGGATTTGGTTGGATTTGTCCATAGCCATAAATATGGATTGATATAGCCCTGTATTAATTATACTTTACATTTGCAAACAGTCTCAAGCAGAGCCATTTCATTGGCTGTTTTACTTGCTTAACATGATCCAATCTCTCCCTTTTGACCCCTGTGGCCTTCAATACAGTAGTCATGCACTTTTACACACTAAAACACGTGCTCAAGCCATTCTGTGAAGTCCAGCAGTAATAACATTAACTGAAATAGTCGTTTTAACCATCTTTCCCTCTCTCTGCAGGAATCCAGCGATGTTCTGTCAGCGGTCAGCATCTGCTCTGCTGTTCTTGGGGCTGAGGTAGTAGATTGAATAGTTGTGGAGCCCTGCGCTCTCTCTCTGAGATAACTATACAATCTACTGTCTTTCCTAAGGCGACAGCCAAATCATCCGCAAAACAACACGGACAAAGCGCCTGCATTTTTTGGAAAGCATATTCACCCACATTCAAGCAGTAAGAGTTTCATGTTGACTGGATAAGTACGTGTTTTTGGTGTCTGGACAAGGTGAGGTAGTAGGTTGTATAGTTTGGTGGGAGGGATCAAACCCTGTTCAGCTGATAACTATACAGTCTATTGCCTTCCTTGTGTCACCTAAGGTCTGCCCGCTAATGGAAAACTGCCGAAGTTTGAATATTGTTCATGAATGATGTATGTGACAGCAGGTGTTTGTTTTAATGTTGTTATTTGCATGTGGCTGGTTTACACTGCCAGCGTATGCATGTGTTTACAATGGAAACTCCACATTTGTGACTCTGGATCAGTGCTTGGTGCAAATAGTGAAAAAGGAATTTGTTACTGTAATCAAATTACATCTTTTTTAGTTGAAAAAGTCAAGCAAAATGTTTTTTTTTTTTTTTTTTAAGTGATTTAATTACAGTTACTTAAAAATGCTTGCCTAAAATACTGTGAATAAATTCAACAGTTCTCCATTAATTAGTTAGTCCGGAAAGTATTCATAGCGCTTCACTTTTTCCACATTTTTTATGTTACAGTCTCTTATTCTAAAATGGATTAAATTCATTCCAAAAAAAATTTGAACTATTGTAAATTTATTAAAAATAATAAACTTGAACACTTTGCCGTGAAGCTCTAAAATGAGCTCAGGTACATTGTTTCCACTGATCATTCTTGAGATATTTCAGCAGCTTAATTGGAGTTCACCTGTGGTCAATTCAGTTGATTGGACATAATATGAAAAGGCAGACACCTGTCTATATAAGGGCCCAGGGTTGACAGTGCATGCCAAAGCACAAACCAAGCATGAAGGCAAAGGAATTGTCTTTAGACCTCAGAGACAGGATTGCCTCGAGGTACAAGGCTGGGGAAGGTTACAGAAAAATGTCTGCTGCTCTAAAATTTCCACTGAGCACAGTGACCTTCATCACCTGTAGTTGTAAAATGTTTGGAACCACCAGGACTCTTCCTAAAGCTGGCCAGCCATCCAAGCTGAGTGATCAGGGTAGAGGGCCTTAGTCAGGGAAGTGATCTATAACCCAATGGTCACTCTGTCTGAGGTCTGTCCATGTACAGCAATCCACTAATCAAGCCTGTATAGTAGAGTGGCCAGACGGAAGACACTGCCTGCCTGGAATTTCCTAAAAGTCATCTGAAGGACTCTCATACCATAAGAAACTAAATTCTCTGGTCTGATGAGACTAAAATTGAACTCCATGGAGTGAATGCCAGGCGTTATTTTTGGAGAAAACCAGGCACCGCTTATCACCAGGCTAATACCATCCCTACAGAGAGGCATGGTGGTGGCAGCATTATGCTGTGGGGATGTTTTTCAGCAGCAGGACGTAGAAGAGTTGTCAGGGTAAAGGGAAAGATGAATGCAGCAGTGTACAGGGATATAATATCCAAAGTGTCAATAGAGTGGTTTCAAAACTACTTGTTGAATGTCTTGAGTGGCCCAGCCAGACCTAAATCCTATTGAACATCTCTCGAGAGATCTGAAAATGGCTGTACACCGTCGCTTCTCATCCAACCTGATAGAGCTTGAGAGGTACTGCAAAGAGGAATGGGCAAAATATTCCCAAAGACAGGTGTGCCAAGCTTGTGGCATCATTTTTAAAAAGACTTGAGGCTGTAATTGCTGCCGAATGTGCATCACCAAAGGATTGAGCAAAGACTGTGAATACTGATGTACATGTGATTTTTCAGGTAGTTTATTTTTAATAAATTTGTAACACTTAAAAAAATGTTTTTTCCATAGTCATTATGGAGTATTGTGTGTTAAAATGTGAGGAAATAAATGAATTTATGCCATTTTGGAATAAGGGTGGAACACAAAATGTGGAAAAAATGAAGCGCTATGAATACTTTCCAGGTGCACTTTACATACATACTGTACATAGACGTAAACATACGTACTTATTTATAGTTTTCACTTTAATCTTTTTACTTATATTGGCAAACTATGTATAATTTAATGAAATAATGCACCTATCGTTTTAATACATTGGAAAGTTTTGTACATGTTTAACATTTCTTCAGTGTTTTAAATAAAATTAAAAAGGAATTTTAAGAATTTATTTGTATTGATTTTGTTTGTATTCTGAATGCATTAAGATTTATGAAGATGAAAATGTTTTTTAGAGACATTTTATACACATACAGAACATACACACATACTTTTGCATTTATTCACTTACTTTTTCTACTTTTTATTTTATTTATTAAACAGTTTTTTTTCTCTTTTAACCTGAATTTATATTGACAAACAATATACTGTATATGATGCATATATCACCTACAGTATGATGTTTAACCCTTTAAATGCATTTTTTAACAAACCCCATCATTTCAAAAATATCAACCTTTACCAAATGGTAGATATAGTTGACGTCAGACTTATTAGCCTCGTTTTGATTTTTTTTTCTTTTTAAATGTTTTCCAAAATATGTTTAACAGAGCAAGGAAATTTTTACAGTATGTCTGAAATTATTTTGTCTACTAGAGAAAGTTTTTTATTTATTTTTTGTTTTATTTTGGCTAGAATAAAATCAGTTTTTAATTTTTTTTAAAAACATTTTTAAGGTCAAAATTATTAGCCCTTTTAAGCTTTATTTTTTTCAGTCATCTACAGAACAAACCATCATTATACAACAACTTGATAATTACCCTTAATTAACCTAGTTAAGCCTTTAAATGTCTCTTTAAGCTGTATAGAAGTGTCCTGGAAAATATCTTGTAAAATATTATTTACTGTCATCATGACAAAGATATAAAAAAAACAGTTATAAGAAATGTTATTAAAAGTATTATGTTTAGAAATGTGTTGAAAAATCTTCTCTAGGTTAAACAGAAATTGGGGGAAAAAATAAACAGGGGGCTAATAATTTAAGGGGGCTAAAATTCTGACTTCAACTGTACACACACATATGGCAGTTTATTTTACCCCAGTATTTTCAATGGAGTTTCTGCGCTCGCCTGCTGATGTTTCCACAATTTTTTTTATCTTATTTTAAGCTTAAACAACTAAATGAATGCTGTAAAAAACATATGAAATTAAAAATAGTCACTTTCACCGAAAGTTTATCATTGACTGAAATTCACTAGCTGTGCATATAGCTCATTACAGTTTAAACTACATCCAGTAATAAAGCAGTTATTTAAAAAAAAGTAATAATATTTACCAAATTCCAATAAAATAAATGCAGCCTTGGTGAGCAGTATTGCTTTTAAAAACATTTGAAAATATTTCTGACCACTAAATGTTAACCGGTAGTGAACAGTATATCTCAGCAAGTGATATAGTAAGACAATAAAGACCTTTATACTGTTTCAACGATTTTGAATAAACGTTGTGCTTTTGAACGATGGAAAAAAGCATGATAGAAATATATATATTTTTTTTTAAATAATATAACATATTTGATATTAAATAAACATTAAGGATTAGGTTAGTAATGTAACCGTTCTCAATGTTTATCCATAGGTTTTTCTTCAAGATATACTGCAGAAATCACTATGAATGTGAAAGCACTTTCTCTTACTGTATATTTGCATGTATATATATATATATATATATATATATATATATATATATATATATATATATATATATATATATATATATTGTGAAACTCTTAACAAGCCCGAACAACATCTGTGCCTCTGATGCAAGCTTAACATGCCGATCTAGTATTACATATGAAGAGAGAAAAAAATCAGATTAAATGAGATTTACAGAGCTCAGATTTACGGCTAAATCAATAATTTGCTCTTCTGTTGGCCAGTGATCAAACAGGATTTTCACACATCATACCAGAAAATTCTGTGTCAGTCTGACTGCATATGGCTATGCATACCCATGATATAAAAGTATGTGTGTGTGTGTGTGTGTGTAATGTGCATAATATATATTTTGTACTATGAATAAAATAGTTTTCTAGCATTTGTGTTTATTATTATAATTTTTATTTGATGTTGATGAGTTTTGCATATATAAAAAGATTAAATATATATTAAAAAATATGCATTTTCCAGTACTGAGTTGCGGCTGGAAGGACATCCACTGCGTAAAAAAAAATGTGCTGGAATAGTTGGCGTTTCATTCATACCCCTGATAAATAAGGGACTAAGACAAAGAAGAATAAATTATTAAATAATAAAGTACAGGCTTGACAGAAGTTAGATAGTAAAATGATACTTGGAAGTGAAACTGTTACATTACATGAAAATTGGAAAGTAATAAACACGAGGAGTAAAAATGGTTCTTTATGCTCATTTTGTTTGTTATTTGCATTGAAGTAAACAGTAATTAGAATAATATAACCTAGATTTATAGAATTTAATATATAAACACGACAAATGTCTTATTTCAGCTTGTAACTAATGAAATATTTCTTATATTAATTTACCTTTTTTAAGTATACCTTGTGTCAAGATCATTTATTTGAATCAGTTAGATTAGCACTGATGTTTTAACTATACAGTATATCTTAATCATTCATTCAATCATCTTTTCGGCTTAGTCCCTTTACTAATCCGGGGTAACCACATCAGAACCGCCAACTTATGCAGCACGTTTTTACATAGCCGATGCCCTTCCAGTCGCAACCCATCTCTGGAAACATCCACACACACGTATTCACACTCATACAATACAGACAATTTAGCCTACCCAATTCACCTGTACCGTATGTCTTTAGACTGTGGGGGAAACCGGAACACCTCAGAGGAAACCCACGCAAACGCAGGGAGTACATGCAAACTCCACACAGAAACGCCAACTGACCCAGCCGACTTGAACCAGCGACCTTTTTGCTGTAAGGAGACAGCTCTACTTACTGCGCCACTGCATTGCCAGTATATCTTAATATTTAATATAATTTCTTTCTATAGAACTCCACTCACAGCATATTTCAAACAACCGTGCATGTCTATATTTGTGACTCTGGACCAAAAAACCATTACATGAGGTTACATTTATTTTGAAATTTGTATTAAAACATTATTTACAAGATGAATGAATGAATGAATAAATAAATAAATAAATAAATAAATAAATAAATAAATAACAAATTACTAATATATATTTACATTACACTGTAAAAAAGTGACTCAAATCCAAATTTAAGGCAACCAGCTTCAGGAA